TTTTTGTGTTTCAGTTAATTTCTTATTTTTAGCATTTAAGGATATAAACTGGCATTTAAAATCATGAAATTCTTCATATTTTCCAGAGAATTGAGGTAAAGGTATTTCAGGCAATTTAACATTAATATTTTCAACAGTATTATTATGTACTGGTAATGCATTAAGTTTTGATTTTAATTTTGAAAGGAGGTATTTGAGACTTACCTCCATTTACTCCAGATCATCCTCTTTTTCTTCAATAATTTCACAAGATTCCTCTATGGAGACCTCTGCTGGTAGACTGAAGTACCGCTGTTTTAATTCAGCCAAGGATCGCTTTATTCCTGATAACGATTGCAATATCACTTCTAAAAATGATTCACTTTCTTCATTTTCGATAAAGTCATGTAGAGAGTGTTCCAGTTTTGTGACTTTTAGACAAAAGTTTTGTGTTGCCTGTTCAGAGATATTATATTATCCATAGTTGCTGTTCTTTCTTCGGGTTGGTTAGGATCAAAATGATGATAGCAACTGGTAGTTGTGGACTGTATATTAATTCATAAAAGTCAAGTTGAGAAACTTAACAACTTTCATTTTCTTTCAAGCACAATAATGCCACTTAAACGGGCAAAGAGTGAGTAAGGAACAATTAACAATTGACTGCCGCTTTGTTCGGGCAGAGGAATGGAGACTCGGTGTGGACCGAGTGCATCCCATTCACTTACTGATTAGTACTGGGCTCTCGCCACTGATCTTACATGGCTCTGCAAACGTTAAGTTTTTTAGTTTTTAAACAGTTTAACTCTTTAATAATTAAAGAGTTTTTAATTTTCCAAAATTGCCCGAAGCCATGCCAAGAATTGGATGAATGAGATTTTTACCTTTTTAAAAATGGAGAATTTGCATAAAATGAAAACCTAAAAAATTAAGTATCAATATAAAACTAATTTTAAAATTTAGCATTTTATTGAGCATGCAATCAGTGGAATCTTACATGTCAGAAGCAATACTGTGAAGCAGCTGTTTTACATTTAAATTACTGTAGCAGTATGAGAATGATCTCTCAGTAAAATGAAATTTAAAAAATCATTTGCGATCATCATGGGTTCAAAAAGCTAAGAAATTATAAACATTCTGTTAGTGCAAGTAAAACAATAGATCCTTGGCAATAAAATTGATAATTTCCATCAAGAAAAATAAAGTATAAAATTAAGTAAATATAATTTTTCATTTTCTTTCCTGAAGTTTTGTAATTGAAGCTACACTTTCCATTTCCTTTCTCATTCTTGATTTTGCAGTTTCTGTGATTTCTTTCCTTCTTCAGTTTTCCAGTTTGTGTTTTCCATTTTTGTTCTTTATTTTCTTCTTTCCTTTGCTGTTCTGTGTCGTTTCTTACATTCTTCATCCCTGTTCGTAATAGGGCTCAACCATTCTTCCACAGAAGTACCCTCAAAATCCTCACTCTCTAGATTTTTATTCTATAACAGTATTATTCAAAAGCATTTTTATCCCTGTTTTCTGCCTTAATTATCTGACAAAGCTTTTCCTAAGAACATTGTACCTCTATATGCCTTCAGCTTCAGTTCCTAAAAATTTGAATTAGCATTAATCATAGTTTATATTATCTGTATGTGTATGTGTTTGTACATATATATATTGTAATTCAGTGACATTAAATACTAAAATTATTATCTTCCAAATTGTAAGAAAAATGTAAAAGGAAAGTTGATAAGCAGTAAAATAATAATTTTAGCGAAGGGAAGTAGCCTAGGCCAAATGGTCAAAATATTAGAAAAGTATTTTTGTTTGTGCCAGGAGGATGGACAATAATGATTCAAATTCATGTTCTAATTAATTGGAAGGACAAATCAATGATGACTAAACAATGAAATACCTGATATCTTTGCTAACTTAAGCCAATCCAAGAGCTACTGCTGCAAATCTTGGGTTACTGTTTGTCATTGCACTTCCGTGCATCTGTTGAAAATGTTTCTTTTGGAGTTATCTGTCCTTACTTTTCTGTTGTTTATATCTTCCTTATGTGCCTGTACTTTCATGTGTTATTTCTGCAAACACATTTAATTACAATTTCTGCTTATTTGAGTTTCATCTGTCTGCTTTACATTTTTGCCAGATATTTTATATTCCACCTGCATATTCACTCAAAAAAAAGGCAGCAAGTAATGACTTGTAGATGGAAAACCAGGAACCTATTTTCATTCAAAAAGATCACAAGAATATTTGACATTTAATCGCTAGTACCAGTAAATTCACATTTATTTTCATCTATTTTGTAATTGCAAAAATTCCAGATCCTTAACTATAATAAAAATTGTAGGAATAATTGTCTCCCAGTTTATGCTTAGCTGAAGTTGTTCTTAAACATTTGAATTTTTTAAGAAATAGAAGTGCAAGTGTATGCACTGTAATGTAAATTTGTGCAATGCTGCTCTGTAAAGTCTTATATTGTACCTTTGTAACATAAATTTTGTTTTATGTTGTAAAGTATCCATAATAAAATATCAAAGCTCATGAGAAACTATATGCACAAATATTTAACGTTTAAATTAAAATCATACCATGCTTATTTGGTTGTCACTCCAATCCTGTCAATGACACACATTTATTTGTTGTAACTCCTCAAGAGAAGTAACACTTAAGATTCTTACAGCTGTAAACTAAATACTTTATTTCATACTAAGGGTACTTTTACTAACTTGGGAGATTTAGACATTATCACAAGTTACTCGCAAAACATTTTCTCTATGCTGTGAGTCTAAGCCAAGTTGCAGACTCATCAATTATAATTTACTAAAGGAACAAGTATGCAGGCATTTAATAACCACTTTCTGTAGTTATAATATGCCAAAATTTTAGAGCCATCTCAGATGATCACTGATCAATAGATACACAGATATGCTTAAACTTGAATCCTGAATAAGGAAAGGTGATATAGAGTCTTTGCGGCACGAAGCTACCTAGAACCTGTTCCGCCAAAGATCATCCATGCAAGTTCATGGTAAGGAAAAAAAGGGTACATTCCACTCAAATGCCATCCACAGGATGTTTTTGATCAATACTTAGATAGAACTTAAGATGGTATCACAACTTTCAGTTTTTCTGAAAATTATATATGAATCTACACATCTAGAAATACATAATAAAAAACTTACCTGCTAGTATTTTATAAATAATCCCAAAACATTAATAAATGTAGAGCCTTTAATTACAGTGGCAAATGTTTGAACAAAATTTCCTGGATGACCTCTGGACTTTTTAAAGAATGGCTGAAGGATTGGGACAGAGAGCTATCGACGCCAGTCGAGAAAAGTGCTGCTTCTTCTCGACAATTGTGCAGCACATCCTCGTTTAGATTGCTTGATGAACGTCCAACTGGAATTTCTACCTCCAAAGGCCACAGCTTTGGTCCAGCCAATGGACATGGGCATCATCAAAACTATGAAGACCCTTTATCGTGCAAGGTTGGTTAATTACATCCTAGAAGCAATTAAAGAAAGTTTGCTGACCTTATCGTCAAAAGCCAGCAGGGTCAGTGCAAAGGTCAACGTGTTACAAGCAGTTACATTTGTGGCCGACAGCTGGCGAAAAGTGAGCAGTGAGACAATTCAGAACTGTTTTTCTCACTGTGGCTTTAAGCACTTGGTTTTGGAGATGGATGTGGACATGCTCATTAAAAGTGAAAATGATGATTTAGATGTGGAACTTCAGCAGGTACAAAATTGTGAAGAATTTTTTTCCATTGACTACAAGCTTCAATGCTACGATGAAAATGAAGATTACGCTGCTGCAATCGTTGCTTGAGTTGCAGCAAAACACACGACAGCATCCGAAGACCAAGAAAGTGATGATGATGATGCCACTAATAAGTTGGTGCAAGTGACAACACAGGATGTGAGGAAATGCATTGAAACTTTGCTTCGGTATTTCATGCAGGAGGGAAATGAAGGTGGTCCCATTGCTGCGTTAGATGTTTGTGGCAATTTCGTTCACATGCAATCCATCAAAAGAACGCGTCAGATCACATTGTATAAGTTCTTCAAATGTTGACTGGAACTTGGTAAGAAATTGTTTTTATTGTGCTTCACATGATGAGTATCATGGAGATTGTTTCTTAGAATTTGTTTCTAAATTAATTTTCTCAATGAAAAAAGTTTGACTGTATTTTGTGTTTGTACATGTATGTTCGTCATAGTGTGTACCACACCATAAAGTTCATAATTACATTTTAGTACATGATTTACATGTACATTTACTGTTTGCTACATATAGCATGTCCCATCTTACAACATAAGACATGTTCGTTTAATCGGACCAGCCGGTTATTAGGACTAAAACGATCGTTTCCCGATGTGGTCCGATTAACCGGAATCGACTGTATATGATTATTCCTACTATCAGTATTAATTGCAAATTATTATTTCCTTTGTTTATTGTATTTCCTAAATAGACAGAATTCTGTAATTACCTTGTCTCACTTTTTTTAGTAATATTTTGGTTATGTGATTTGTTTAGCTTGGCAAATCGCATTATTTGTTACAATTTTATCACTGTTTATCTACATTGTACTGAAAACTAATTTTTTCATTGTTATGTATTTCTTGATGAGCAGATTCACACACCCCAGAAAAATTTAAGAGTTTAAGTTTGAGAAAACTTCATTATTAGGTTACTAGCTCTGTTTTGCTTTTTATTAATTATATAATCAATCCATAACCCAAACCTTTAATATCTATGTATAAAATTGTTGTATCTGCCAGGACGTTTATAGTACAGTATGTTTGGTTTACTGTCTATAAAATTCACGAAGTTTCTAATTGTTTTTCATTTATACATTTTAAGTTACATTAGGTTTGTTATATTTTGAGTAATGTAATCTTTGTCAAACAATGTCTTTGTATCTGAAAATAAAAATAGTCCAACTCAGCATATACCTCTGAGCCAGATAAACATGTTTTCCATTGCAAAATATGTCATTATGTAAAATAAATGTAATTTTCTAGGAACGTGATAATGGTCAGAGATTAAATATCATTCTTGTTGCTGAAGGTGCACAGGATAAAGATGGCAATCCTATATCTGCTGAGCAAGTTAAAAAAGTAAGTTAATTTTTTAATTGAATTCATAAATTTTAGAATTTTAAATTATATATATTGTTGGTTAAAATCAAAAACTATATTTTTACCAGGTTATTGAAGATAAGTTACAGCAAGATACACGTATCACTGTTCTTGGGCATGTGCAGCGAGGAGGCAGTCCTTCAGCATTTGACCGTATTTTAGTAAGTCTTCCACCTGAAATATATATATGCAAGTATTTTTCAAAACAATTATTTCAATATTTTACTGCAGTGAGAGAATGTAAATATTAAAATTTATGAAATATTCATTTTTTGATATTGCATTGAGCAATCTTTTTTTTATTTATTTATTTTGTATTTTGATTTATATTTATTTATTTATGCATGTCCACTTAATTTTATCTCTTTAATTATCCTTTATTTTTCTGTAGTACTTGTTATTCTTAATAAACAGAAATTGATTTTATGAGAGTAGCTTTAGGAAAAAACAGCTTTCTGACCCCTATTAGATGGTAATAATTTCTTGCTAAATTGACAGAATTCTAAAAGTTTCCAGGAAACACATTTTTCAAACTCTTCAGCTGGTTTTTCTAAAAGGTTTTAGTAATGCTGTTTGTGTTTTGGTATAAAAAGGAAGCAGTGGGGAGCCAGGCTAAAGGGAATTAGTCAATTAGATTGATGTGTTCTGAAATTATATCAGTGATTTTCAGCCTTTACTGCATAGCAATTTTGTAATTATGATGTTCAAGACTTTACTGTATGAGCAATTTTGTAATTCTGATTTGTGCTAATGCTAATTATGATTTGTGCTAAGTGATTTTCAGCCTCTACTGTATGAGCAATTTTGTAATTATGATTTGTGCTAAGGAAAATTTTCTGACTACTTACCATTTGTTTTTGAGATGATCATCTTCATTTATAAAGCTTTTTATTGCATAAGGCTATAGTAAAATTTCAGGTTTTCCACCACATTGTGATATGTGATTTAAGGAGGGTTTGGTTAACCCATAGCAATTGACATCAGGAGCAGAATCTCTTTGAATATTTATTATTAGAAAAATGGAAGCCTATCTGGAATAATTATGAACACATTTACTAAAATGAAGACAGTGATGAAATCTCAGTAGAAGCAAATGCTGTAATGGTGCTTCCATTGTTTCAGATATGAAGCAGAACATGGTCACTGTAGCATAGAAAATTGTTCATATCATAAACAAGAAAGTTTAAGCTGTAAAGGAAACATTTTAAAAAGAAATAGCCCTTGTCAATGAAGAAATCAAGAATGTAAAAACTTCCATTAATGAAGACATTTCTGCAAATGATTATGTTTCAGCTATTAATTACTACATCTGTGGAGTTAATAAAAAATAAATAAAAAAAATTAAGAAGCATCTGAAATAAATGCAGTTGTGACTATTCTGAATAACTCTCCTTCTTCATTTTTGTGTCCCATTATTAAATTTACATCAAATAGAGAAATATTATTATAGAATGTATGTAAAATGCAATTTGAAACGATTTCGCACAAAACCGGTGAGACTGTGCATCCAAAGCATTACGTGCGATCGCATCACTACCATAAGAAGTGGTATGGTAATACTTTCTTGTTTGTTGAAAAAAATAAAGAAATGCAAACATTTTATGCAGCTGTAGTCTGCTGCAGACTTATCATTCAATAGAAGATTCCTGAAATATTGCCCAAAGCTTCAACTACACCAAAAAATAATGCAAAGAAGTAGAAAATCACTTCAAATGCCTGCAGCTGATTAAGGAAGAATAACTCAGATTTCATTCCCATCATAATTACATCTGGACATTGATCAGTTTAAGTTTGTCAATAGCTTTGAAAAACAAAATGAAATAAATTAATTACTTTCTTAAATTGCATAGTTTTACCTTACCATATTTCATACATAGTATTGCTTGCATACAGGTTTGTAATAGATTGAATGCACGCAGAGCCGATGATAGCTTGATAAAATTTATTTTCTGGAAAGAAACACTTAACAGTTTAGGAACTTTCCACAAAAATACTCATACAGTTCTTCACAGTATCGCAGAGTACAATCAGTAATTACACTTCAAACAACTCAGATCATTAAACACAGTTAGATGCAAAGCGCATCTAAAGAGGCAGAGCTCCTATGGCGATCTCTCAATCCTCTGAACTCATGCTGAACTAAACAACTGAGAAATTTATGCTCTCCCTGGTCTTGTATTGTTTTTCCCGGTTGCTGAGAAATGTCTAGTGCCAACTATTTCTCAAAATTACTGGAACACATGCACGGTTAAAGTTATATATAGGAGCTGAATATGATTATAGTTACACATAGAGGAAAGATTTACAGGAATTCATTTACAGGGTCAGTTATGTATCAGGGAACCAAAATGTATACAGGGACTGGACCAAAATGTTCTCGTATGATCACCAAGTTTGGCGACATTTGGCGAGTTGTAGAAAAATTTGCAATATAAATTAGTTGCCAAAACCATCACCAGTTTAACAATGTTGTGCCAATTTAGCAAGATAGGCATTTACCTCAATGTTAAATAAACCTGTCCCTGTAATGTTATTTTTCTGGCAGACCTTTGTCTCTTTCGAGCATTTCATTTTACATTATACAAAAAATACCACAATTTCACATATAATTTCATCAAAATTATGCACATATATAGAAAATTCGTAACACTAGATAATGGCATATGTGCCAACTCCTAATTTCAGTGGGAGACTTCCGATTTTTCATTACAACTCATGGTAGGTCACAAAATCTCCCAGTTTTTAATTTTTAGCTTTTCTAAAGAAAATGTTTCCCAGCAACAAGTGAAATTTGCTGAATTAATGAAACTTAAATTAGGCAAATTCTATTAATTTTTTAAATAAATTTTATCTGAATTGTATTTTTAATGCATTTTATTGATATTTATCTTTTTAAATTACATCTGAATTGTCTTAATCTGTTGTTGTTGACATTTGTATATATCTATATGAATATTTTAAGCAGACATTTGTATATATTTATATGAATATTCAAGCAATGTTTAATCAGTTAATATTGGTATTTAATATTATTTTACTTCAATATATGATACATTATTAAGTTTATCCACACAAATGCTATATGCATTAGTTATTAATTTTATTTTAATAGTATTTAAATTTTATTTTCATAGTATTTGATAAAAAGGCTTACCTTCAAAGCTCGGGATTTCCTGAGTATAAAAGTGTAAGAAATTTTTTTAATGTACTTTTAGCCTAAGAATATCAAATTTAGAATATCCATTCCAGTGCTGATATACTTCCCATCAGAACTGTATTACAATAAATTCAATAACCTGAATCATTCATTATAAACTGATTTAAAGTCAATTTGAAATTCCTTTTATGAAAACCTCCCAGTTTTTAAGATTTCAAGGTTGGTAGCTATGTATAGCAAGAAAGGGCTGATAAAATGTAAATAAGGTAATTTAAAATTAAGTCCTCTGAAGTGATAGCAATTTCTGTGGGAATTTCACTGTCTAGTAAGCCACATCTTCTCTGCAAAAATTGTGCACTCATATTCTGGAAAAATCAAGGTTGTTCATAATTGGAATCACCCTGGAGATCTGTTCACAAATGAAGTTTTCTTCATCTGTTACCCTAATTGCAATATATTTATTAAAAATTTATTACAGATCCCCTATATTGATTAGCAGAAACAGAATGAAAATATTTGTGGACTGATATGTGTAAAGAACCATTTAAAATACTGGAGACATTGACATACAACCCTGCATTAGCTTGTGCTCAATTGAAATGTGATTTCATTCTTGATACAGATGACAGTAGTGGTTTAATGCTGTGTTTTGCCAAAAATAGATCCCCAAGAAAATGAAAAGTAAAAAGAAAATCAGTAAGAAATAGATCATTAAGAATATTTTTGATAGTTTCTGTAAAACTCAAAGCTTGAAGAAAATTGCTGTATCACCAGGGAAAGCCTCTTCACTAATTTAATTGTAGTACAGTTTTTGTGTTATTATGTGTGCATGCAAATATTTTTGAAGTGCATCTATCTATACATCATCAACTTAACTACTTGAGATATTTAGAGGGGCAAGTGACCTACTGGATATAATGCTATAATAATTTAGTATGAGGATTGAAGGTTGCAGAGGTTCTTTAAATGGAATGTTGATTCACTTCCATCAACACCTTGTATATGAAAATACAGACATTGCTCAAAGATTAAGATGAAATGTTGCTTTGGTTCCATTGTTCAGGACCAAGGAAGTTAGAATAGATGGCATCACGAAAGTGAAGCGTAGGAAATGTCAACAACATGGAGGTCACGACTTATCATGGCTACCATAGTCCTTGTGATTTTTCTATATATTAAGGAAAATCATTTATTTTAATTATTAAAATTAGATTGGGAGTTGTTTAACAAGGAGTAGCATGTAAAGCAAGACCAGTGAACCATAGACTGTGCCATTTCTGTTACTGCATTTATTTCTAAGTTCTTGGTCAGGACTTTTCATTTGAGAAACCGAAGAAAGCTTATATAAAATATCCTGAATTAGGACCACTAATAGCATTTATAGAAGCAGTAAGTGGAAATTCCCATCTATGGAAAAAAGGCACATTTCAATCAGGCAACAAAAAGATTTGGGATTCATTTTAAGAAGAATTTTTCTGTTGTTGAGGGAAGCCAGAAATGCTCTCAAATGGCTTCATTTTGATTTTGGTTTAAGATAACACTCACAAGTTTGTAGATGTTTTATCTAAAACAATGCTGAATCAGATGTGCAAAAATGGTGCAGATCCTAAGTTATACATGAAATGTAAAAAAATGCCTGTAGACAAATATACCAGAGAGATCACAGTGTTGTGGATGTATGAGCACCATTCAAGAGGAACATTGAACATTTTTCAATCACTACTCTAAATTTATGGGATGATGTAACCACAGTGCTTTCATCAGTTGCACTCTCAAAAGTAGTTTTGGGTCCATTTCTGTTAATTCCCAGATGCAAATAGTGAGAAGTAATGCAGGATTGTTCAATTAACCTTTTCTCCCACAGTTCTGACTGCATCCCAGAGGAACTGTCCGGATTTCTTTTTTTTTGGGGGGGGGAGAATTAAAAAAAATCTTATACAATCAGCACAAGTTAAATTCATTTTTTGCCTACAGTGGATATGAAGATGCACTCCAAATCTGCAA